CTCATAACACTACATGGTGTACATACAGTATATGTCCAGGGAACATAGGCCACAAATAATAAATGTAAAAACACTTTATTGTTAATGGAGCCAAACGGTGTGAGAATGGTTTAAAAAAAAACTAGTTTAACTGCAAAAAAAAAAAAACCTATAAGAAAGATACTTAAAATAGTAAAACAGTGTGAGTGATAAATTAGCACTGACACTAAAAGCAGATTAAAAGGGCTGACACTGTGAAACATCAGGAGGTTGGAGTAATTTACAGTTTCATGAAGAGTTRAGGTCTGTTGTTCATGTGTCTGAAAGCATCACTGGGCTGATTGTTTCCTTGGTGATYAACGTAATCTGGTACTCCTTCAACAATTGAATCCTTTTATCACATGACTTAGGAAAACAATCAAACTRTGGACAGAGAAGTTCAYTTCAGCTGATGTGAATGTGGCTGGGAGGTTGACAGAGCTTGTTTGTGTCTGCAGATGAGTCATTTCACACAACAGAGGCCTGTCATTACTGAAGACCATCATCACAGTCTTCATCAGTGTTCTCTGGTGCAGTAAACACTGAGGTTTCTCTGAAAAAAACAACATCTGTTACATTTGTTACATTGAAAGAGGAAAGATGGAAGGATGACAGTTAAATTAGAATTATTTTAGGATGAGAAGGGACAGATATAAAGCCTCGTAAATGACATGAGTTATATGCATTGTTGTGTTTATTTGTTTAGCTGTGACGAGCATCTTGAATTAAGTCAATTCTAGTATTTAACACAAAACAGTAAGAACAAAACTAAAGTCAATCTTTTAAATTGTATTTAAATTGTGCAGTTGGAGCCATTTCCCCAGCAGCTCCATAGAACAAAGAGGAGGAGCTGTATGTTTCYATTAAAGGAAGAACTGCTGACCTTACAGGGTTTGGCGGTGTCTCTGCTCCAAAAAAATCAATATATTGTTTTTTCTTAGTCAAGTAGCAGGAGTGAGGAAGACTCAAAGTAAAAACAAGACAGAAAAAAATAAATAAAAACCCTATAGGTTTATGACACCTGAAAACTGTGTTGGAAGAAGTAATACTAGACCTYATCAATTATTTTGCTTTCTTAAGACCCCTTCACACATTTAAGACAACTTACGCCAACTTATGCAATTTTTGTCCAACACTAAAAATGTCTAAGCTGAAGAT